GGAGGGGCGGGGGGGACAAAGTACTCGGCCAGCGGCACCTGTTGAGGGCTGCGGAGAGAACGGAAGGAGATCGTTTGTAACGGAAGGCACATAGCAACACAAGTCTGGCAAAGGTTTGCAAAAATCAGCAGCTTCAGCCGCAGAATCAGAGAGCTGCTTCCCCACGACGACACTCAGATTGCCGACTTCTGAATGACGAAGACAACCGAGGACAACGGAGCAAGAGAGCAGCTGTAACCAAATATATCAAACTCCGGAATCGGGCCGCATCTCAGAGGCTCCCAAATCGTATAAAAGCTCCACCAATGAGAACTCACAAATACTGGAGTCAAATACAAAATCAGTCCCAGTGAACTCTCAGGCGCACTCTTGAGCCCTGTGCTGAAAGGAAAACCTGTGCGCCGGGGGCCAGGAATCAGTGGCCTCAGTGCACACCTATCTCAGCTTAGGGAGAACACTGCTGGCAACCTCATCCCAGAGCTGTTTGCCGGCTATTTCCGGGCAGGCTTTCTCAGCTGGGCTTCCCCAGCAGTAGGATCGGCCGCCTACTGATGCCCGCGGGATTCAAGAGCTTGCCGTGCTCAAGAGAGCCTTGGAGACCCAGATCTTGGGTGGTCAGCATGCATGCTCTGGCTGGTTAGTATGTCCTGGCTGTTTTATTCCATGCTTTAGATGTGTTGTGGATTTTATTGTTTTGCTGTTGTACCTCGTTTCGAGAGCTTTTAATGCTGGGAAATGAATCACAAATTGTCTAACAAATAAAGAGCCAGAGCACTCCCAATCCAGTCCTGTACAACTCGTCCCCCTCCCAGGTGAAACTGGCCCATCCAGAGCTCTTATGCGCAGGGGTCATTTCCCGCAGGAGTGCACAGGAGCGGAGTTCCGGCAGTAAAGAGCCCAGGGGGAGGGCACATGCAACAAGCCCCGCCCCCTGCTCCCAGCAGACCCGGGCCACAAGAAGCAGCCAGGTAAGTTGCAGTGGGTGTTGCCTTCTGACACACTTCCGGTGATGTCAGGGGGTGTGGAATATGCAAATAAGTGATGCTAATGAGTTATGCTAATGAGCTCCTGCACCTCTTTTTCTACAAAATGACCCCTGCTCATGCGGCCCACAAGCGACTAGTGCAAGGGAGGGAACAAGGGACTTCTGGGAGGAGTGGGTGGAGTCACTCCAACAGTGGCTTCAGCATGGTGGAAGAGCCTCGTCTGCAGCAGTCAAGCAGTCAAGCAGTGTGGGAGTGCCTTCCCTGGGCTGCACGGCTGGGTCTCCAGTCCACCCATGTGGATTTTCCTTTGCAGCCCAGGGGGCCTTGCAGTGAGGATACACCAACTTGGAGCTTACCAGCTGCTGTCCTTTATGCAGTTTATATCTCCGGTACCTGGCGCTACATTTATGGCAAACATGGTCTGGCCCAACAAAGTGACAATTATGTCAGATCTGGCCCTCATAACAAATGAGTTTGACACCTCAGCTCTATGGCCTACCACACGTTTCACACACACACACACACACACACACCGTTCCTTGCTGGCCATTTACTGCCCCAGCAAAAGCAGCAATTGTATCCAGCTTCTAAAGACTGTGTTTGGCTGGGTGTGGTGGTGGTCCCCCTGCTGTACAGGCCAATTCACTGACCAGATACCGAGGCCAAGTCAATCAGTCACCCAATGAGAATGGTAGAAATGCAGTGCTACAATACTAGTGGTCTGTCCCAGCCAGTTAGTACAGTGCAACAAGAGCATTAGGGCTCCTTGTGGCTTCACTGCACAGTGCAATTTTCCTACAAGGATACTGCAATGTCTTGGAAAAGCAGAACGTACCCTGATGAAACACACGTCTGTCTATTTTGCCATATAGGAAACCATCTGTGCGTGTGTACAATGAACAAGACAGATGTTTGTGCCTGGTGAACTCACAGTTTTCCTATAAGGTTGTGACCGATGCACAGGAAAAGTTACCTTGTGCGAAGTTGACCTGACGGGGGAGGAGTTGGGAATTTTCCCAAACAAGACTGGACGGTTGTGAGAGCAGCTGGTGTGAAAGATCTAAAGTGGAAGCTGCATCGGCAGGAGCACTCCCATAGAAAACTAGAGGTCTCCTAACCTGTGTTCTGCTGCCTCTAGTGGCAAAGATCCAGAGTGCAGGCTGAAATGGTATCTTGTACACCCAGGTTCAAGCATAGCTACAGCCTAGCAGAGAGCCTGTTGGCAGGTTCCAGGTTCAGATGCTTCCTAGATTTTGGGCTTGGCAGAATCAAGGCTCTGGCACTGCCTGTATGGCTCTCTAGATACTTCTCACGTTCCTGCACTTGCTGTCTTTCCTGTCACTTCCCCAGTCTCTATATGTATCTACGTGCCTGCCCGTGCCTGCCTTCCACCAAGGCTTCTTCTTCAAAGATCTCTTGGATGATTTCCGTCTTCAGGCCCATTCCACTGAGATCTATAATCCCAGCGTCCTGAATGCTCGACTGCTTATGTACCAGCGCCAGAACCAGGACTGGCTCCTGCTCCCTTGCTCACTGCATACTTGAGGTATATCTGGCTTTATCTTTGCAGCCTTTAAAATTACGAAATGTCTCCAGAAAAAATGCAGATGACACCCTGATTCTAAGTGCCCTTTACAGAGAAAAGAAATGGCTTTGCTGTCTATGGAAGTGTTACGCTCCAGGCGCTTTCCTGGCCAGGACTGCAACCGGAGACCAAGGGCCCTCCTTCTGAGCAGCACCCTTCAAGGTGCTGCGGCTGACTGGAGCACCAGACACTCAGCATTTGAACAGAAAGCAAAACTGACGCCTCTCCTGGAAACTGAGTGAGCCTTTCTGGGCCAGTCCGCATGGCAAGATCTCTTGTTTGTTGGCTGTGACAGGCAGGCAGTAATTAGATTACCTAGAGGAACTTTGTCTCAGATCGGATAACACAAAAACTGTCTTCTCGCGTGAGCTCAGTCTCTTACCACGGGAGGCCAACTGCAGATGATAAGCTTTATAGCTCTTTTTTAATAAATAAATAAATAAATAAACCACCATCATGCCAGAGCCGACTTACTGCGACCTTGTAGCGTTTTCAAGGTAAGAGACAACCAGGGGTGGTTTGCCACTACTAGGTGGTCTCTCATCCAAGCACTAACCGGAGCCGACCCTGCTTAGCTTCTGGGATCTGACCAGGCTAGCCGGGGCCACCCAGGGCAGGGTCACCTGACAGCTACCATGGCCAACCCTCAAACAGATCCATTTGTTTCAGCACCACTTTTTCTTGCAGCATCAAATCCAGCATGTCCTTGTTGTTATTTCTGAGAAGAGGCCTCTGTGGAGGAAAACCAGTTTGGTGTAGTGGTTAGGAGCATGGACTCTAATCTGGGAGAACTGGGTTTGATTCCCCGCGCCTCCACATGCAGCTGCTGGTGTGACCTTGGGTCAGTCACAAGTTCTTTCGGAGCTGTTCTCAGGAGCAGTTCTGGAGAGAGCTCTCTCAGCCCCACCGACCTCACAGGCAATGCTCCCTCTAAGCTGTGGAGTCTTGTGAGCAAAAACTCTACTTTTTGAACTACTGGCATTAGAGTTGTGAGCGAGTGATTTGGCTGCTGCATAAATTGGTTTCCTCTGGAGCCCTCCTTCCTGAGTGAAGACAAAGATGTGTGAGCCGGAGACTAAAACCCTGTGAGCTCACACTAACTCAGCTTAGAGGGAACACTGCTCACAGGGTGCCTGTTGTGGGGAGGGGAAAGGGAAGGAGTTTGTAAGCCACTCTGAGACCCCTTTGGGTAGTGAAGGGCGGGGGATAAATCCAATCTCTTCTTCTTCTTCTTTTAAACTCTCTGGGCTTTTTACAGAAGTTTGTTTTTTCCAGCATGCCATTCAGTGTGGATTTTATTCTTTTTTTATCACTGACCTCTCACGACTGCATTGACATTTATTTCCTTGCTGTCTGGATCAAGGAGCTAAATGTCAAGTCAGCTCAGGTGCCTCAAGGCTGCTTGTTTTAGTTCTTTGCATGGCCCTGCAGGCCTCAGGAAGACACACTCCAGGGGCATCAAGACAGAGGGAGACCTCCCATGGGAGGACCTTCCTGCAAGAGGCCACTCGTGACTAAGAAACTGGTTGCCTCTGGAGAGTAACACAAATCTCTCTCTCTCTCTCATACTGCCTTTCAATGTGCCGGAAAGCCACAACTCATGGCTTCCGGAGGCACTACATATAAGGTGGACGGGTACATGGCATGAGGGGTAAAACATGAGAAGGGGCCAGCATGTCATGGATTTCACTTTTGGTTGGATCCCACGATCCATCAGCAGGAGGCACGGATGCTTCCGGATCTTCCCAGGTTTTCCTCCCCCAACAGTCCTTTCCAACCCTGGGAAAATGTATTTCTTGGGTCGCAGGACCCCTTGGTCGGGAAGCGGCAGTGGAGGCAGGGAAGGAGCGAAACGGCCCTTTCTACACTCCACTGAAAGGAGAGCAAGGTGCAGGCAAGTCTGCCTTCTTCCCCCTCCCTGCCGCAACCTCCCAGCCTAAGTGGCGATTCATCTATGCAGGTCCTCTGACCCCAGGAATCAACTATCTTGCCAGGAATCAACTATCTTGTGGAGCAATGCTCCCTCTAAGCTGTGGAGTCCTGTGAGCAAAAATGCTACTTCGTGAGCTACCGGCATTAAAGTTGTGAGCGAGCGATTTGGCAGCTGCATAAATTAGTTTGCTCTGGAGCCCTCCTTCCTGAGCCGAGACAAAAAAGTGTGAGCCAGAGGCTAAAAAACTGTGAGCTGGCTCACACTAACTCAGCTTAGAGGGGACACTGCTGTGGAGGTGAGGGGGATGCAGGGGAGAGCCAGAATCCTTGCATCCTGGACAGAGTGCTGAATCTAACCCCATTGCGTGATGGCTCAAATGGAAGGTTTACTGGAGCCCTGCTGCTGGGGGGGGGGGGGTGCTGCTGTCCAGGGTCCTGTAGAAGGAAGTCCTCAGACTGCTGACAGCCCAAAGTATATGAACCGGTGGGGAAGTTGGTCTGAATTGCTTCCTACAGTGACTGACTCCACACAGTTCATCTCCTGAGACACATCCTCTCCACACCTATATATTTCTGTAAAGCTATATATTTCTGTGCATTATGTGTGGAGCGGGAGAATGCTTCTCCACTTGGGATGGAATGGCCTGGAAGAAGCCACCACACAACAGCTTTTTGCGCGCTTCAGGTGTTAGACTTTGACCACAGATGGACTTAGGCCTAATCTAATTTTTCCATTGAATGTTCTGGTGATAGACAAGATTGCAAATGACCAAGCACAGAACAAAGGATCCATGCAAATGGAGGTTAAGAACTGTATGGAAACAGCAGAATTTGGGTCATGAGCTGATTTCTGGCTTCAGTTGATTAGGTAATGACAACTACAGCCATGTATGACAAGGGAGCTGGGAGCTAAATGTGCAATGGATTCCAGGGGAGGATAAAGAGGGTCTCTCATTCAGTCAACCCGGCCTTGTGAGCACATGAAGACCTCACCTTGTCTAGTCTCAAAGGGCTTCCTTAGATTGGAGGGAGATGAGTGTTGATTACACCAGCCAACTGCAGCTGACGTTGATAAGGAGGGGGAAAAGACTGCGAAGTGTTGAGTCTTCAACTAAGCTACTTCCTAGTAGTCCTAACAGAAATTGAGCTAGACTCCAGTTCAGAAGCATCTTAGAGACCAAAAAGATTTTTGGGGTAGAAGCTCTGAGGGCCGGGACTTGGGCACCGACGCCGAATGGCCCCCTGGCATGCAGCCCCCTCCTGGAGACCTCACTGTAGCCCGCTGATGTCAAAGGATGCAAAGCGTCTTACTTGGACGCAAACGTGGTCCTCCGATAAACATGGTGACTCCTGAGAGTGTTATGGTCATCTACCCTCTGTCCTTACAGGAGTTCTAAGAATAATTTATTTTTATTTCTTTATTATATTTATGAATCGCCCAACCCCTGCCACTGCAGGGCTCTGGGCAACATAGAGCCAGAGATAAAACAAGATAAAATTACTTAAAACCTTAGTACAATATTAAAAACGAACAGATGGCAAATAACCAGTCCTCCTTCCAACTCCCCCTGCCGGCTACTTTGTGGACAGGGCAGAGGAGGAGGAGGGCAAAATCGATGTAAGCAGCAGGTAACGGGAAGGGGGTGCCCACGGCCAAGATGGGACCGTCGCTGTCCTCAGCCAGAAGCCTGGTGGAACATCTCTGCCTTGCAGGTCCTGTGGAATTGCATCCGATCCCGCAGGGCCCTGATGGAATTTGGCAGAGAGTTCCACCAGGTTGGGGCCAGGACCGCTCAAGGCCTTATAGGTCGATACCACAACCTTGAACTTGACTTGGTATTCCACTGGGAGCCACTGGGATGTGCATGTGCCATCCGTGATGTTCCCATCAGAACTCGCAGCGCCGCATTCTGGACCATTTGGAGCTTCCGGGTCAACCCCAAGGGCAGGCCAGCGTAGAGCAAGTTACAGTAGTCTGCTCTTTGATACCCGTCAGTTCTACTTCTCAAAAAGCAAACCCATGCCTAGAACAGGAAAAAAAGTGTACATTGGAATGCATACCCATAATCCTTGGCCATCTGAGGTCTTGGCCCGTTCAGCATAGTCTCCGGCGGCAGGGGCACGTGAGGCTGCTGGACCCGACTGAGGCTGTTCTGCCGGCTTCCTGCCACTGAGGGCCTGTAGACATGCTCCTGGCCCTGACCGGCCACCAGGATGACCTCTTTGTTGTCTGCTGAGAGGTGGGAGGCGGGCGCTAAGATCTGCTGGGCATGGTGGTTAGGGCTGGCTGGGTATGAATGATCAGCTGCATCGGACGCATAAGATCTGTCACACACAAAAACAGCAAAGGTTGTACTCCCGGGCGGCGGGGATAACAGGGGAATGGGACCACAGTGAAAGGAGGAACATGATGGTGCCTGTCAGCTACTGGGAGCAAAGGTCTCGCTGGGGAAAGGAACCAGGGAAGGGCATTTAGAAGAATGCAGACATGCAGCAGGAGGGGGGCAGGTGGGGGAAGCAGTGCAGCCCTGCAGCTCATTCGCTATCCGCACAGGCTGAAATTCCGCCTCACGTAGAGCGAGTCTCCTCTCTTCTCTCAGCACGCATCCAAGGCCATGCAGTTATTGCTGAAGAGGAGGTGGCACCCGAGCGACACACGTGCCCGTTCTTGGGAGCTTCCGTAAAGGTCCGGATTGCCCTGAGCCTGCATCTACTCAGCAGCACACAGCCCTTCGCTGCCGCCCGTGAGAGTGGCATCCAGGAGAAAAAGAGAAGTCAAAGGAAACCAAAGCCAAAAAACAGCAAAGAAAGAGAAAGGTCGAGCGAAGCGTGTAGTACACAAAACCTGCCTATTATCTGGGGATAGTGATCCTTCCGATGAGGCCATGTGATATGGGGATGGTGAGAACCTGTTATCGGGTCGGAATTCTTTATCATAGGCCATCATGTTCCATTCCAGCCGCCGGTTCCGAGCTTTCCGCACTTTCTTCACTTCCCGGGTGGAATCTTCAACCAGCCGCTGCTCCTGGAAGCAAAGAGACACCCGCTGGGTCAGCCAGTGACTCGCCAGTTGTGCAAACAGCAAAGTTTATCTTGAACTGGTTGCCCCCAAGGCCAAGGAGGGAGAAGCCCCAAGGTGGAAAAAATGGACTGTACCACTTCAGAGTTGTTAGGGGGGGGGTGCCATCATCAAGTGCTCTGCCTATTTAAAAAAAAACTCTTGCAAAACACCCTAGCACAACAGGAAGAACGGGTCTAGCCCAGCTCACTTCCTGCTCTGCCGATTTTCTACCTGAAGGGGAATTTCTCTGGTTTTAATTTTACATAACGGCAGTTTTCTAAAGTGAATCCCACCAGTGATCTCAGGTGGAACAATCCATACCAATGCCTCACTTTACTCCATGATGAAATCAGGCCACAGAGAACTGCTGGGTAAAGCCAGCCGGTGTTTCTAACACCACGAAACAAGAACCCTGCCCTCCTGTTCCACAGCATATGCCCTTGGGGATTCCTGAAACTGGCACATTAAGAGAGAATCCTGTCCCTATCTGCTGAATAAAACATCCCAGACTCCTGAAGAGTTGATAAAGAATCTGTGTGGTCTTTGAAGAGTTTGAGTGGTTGTGAGGCTAAAGTAGGGGTGGGGCCACCACGAGCTCCTTGGAGAAAGAGCAGGAAGAAGATGTGGCCTCCAGACTGAGCCGTCTCCACCCCACCTTTCCTCTCCAAGGAAAAACTGGCTATTGGGGGAAAGTGCCACCCAGCCACAGCCAACTTATGGTGACTCCACAGGTGGGGTTCGGTTTTTTTTTTTTTTTTTTTTTTTTTTCTCACACGGCTCCTCTCTGGTGGAACGAGCTCCCAGAAGAGATCAGGGCCCCGCAGGACCTTTTACAGTTCCGCAGGGCCTGCAAGATGGAGCCCTTCCGCCAGGCTTTTAACTAGGAGCTGCCATCACCATTAACAACGGCAACAGCCCGTAGAGCCTGGTTCCTGGTTGGTCATAGATAGCCTAGGTACGCTGACTACAATCTTAGGAAGATCAGTGAGCTGGAAATTAAACAACTGTGGAATGCACACACGCATCATGACAACATCAAACAACAAAGCTAGCACTTTAACATTGTATTGTTTTAATTAATTGTTTTAAAATGTTTTATGAACTTTTGATTGTTATTGTGAGTTTTATCCTGTGTAAGCTGCTCTGAGCCTGCTCCGGTGGGTACGGCGGGGTATAAATCGTAAAATAAATAAATAAATAAATATATTTTTGCGTGTGTGTGTGTATGTGTGCGCGTGTGTGTGTGCACCTGTGCCTGGAAGTCATGGATACCTCTGGCGACTCCTACTGGGGCACGGAGGACATTCAGAGAAGTGGCTTGATAGCCTGCCCCTGACCTCCTGGCCAATGCTCCCTCTAAGCTGTGGAGTCTGGTGAGCAAACATTCTACTTTCTGAGCTGCCGGCATTAAAGTTGTGAGCGAGCGATTTGGCTCCTGCATAAATTAGTTTGCTCTGGAGCCCTCCTTCCTGAGCTAAGACAAAAGTATGTGAGCTGGAGGCTAAAAACCTGTGAGCTAGCTCACACTAACTCAGCTTAGAGGGAACACTGCTCCTGGCCCTGGTATTCTCTGGAGGTCTCCCATCCAAATACTGGCCAGGGTTGGCCCTGCTTAGCTTCCGAGAGCTGACAAGATTGGGCTTGCCTGGGTTATCTAGGTCAGTGTGTGACTCCACAGGGTTTTGAAGGCAAGAGGCATGAAGAAGTGGTTTGCCACTGCCTGTTTTTGGTCCCCCATCCAAGTACTGGCCAGGGGCGACCCTGCTTATCTTCCAAGATCAGATGAGATGGGGCTAGCTGGGGCCATCCAGGTCAGGGCCCAGCTGGCCAGCATGAACAAACAGAAAATGCCAAAACAGCCTGGCAAGAGAACCAGGAGGGGCTTCACCCGGATGGAGTCTGATAAATGAGGGGCCAGTTGGGGCTGATGGATGAGGCCCTTTCTCTCTTTTCCATTCCATTCCATTCCACTAAAACACTACCCGTTGATTACCTGCGTGATTCAGCTAAGAACGTGGTGCAAAACTAATTCACTTGCGTACGTCTACCTCTGGAATTTTGAACCGCCTGATTACGCAATGCATTGGTGGAAATGGTGCCCTAGCAGGGAAGCATTTTTGCATCATCAGAGATAATTTTTTTTTAAAAAAATCAACAACCATGTTAAAGGGGTATTCATTAAAGGGGGTACTCAATTAAAGGGGTATTCATTAAAGCAACTGGATCCCACAACAATTAAAATGTTCACCCAGCCCTTCTTTCAGGGATCATCTGAGCCCGCCCAGGAAAACCCTTGCTCCTACCACCGACACCCACCTCTGGGGTCCCAGGGCTTGCTGTGGGTTGATGCACAAAACAGGACCTAACTATGACAAGTCAAGGTTTGAACGAGACGGACAGATACCTGCAACTCCAGAGGATATTACTTGACCAACATCAGGCCAATGCAGCAGCTGAAGCTACCTCCCTGCCTCATCTTCACGCTCCACCCTTTCCCAAGCTAGTGGTGATGAGGCTGAGGTGTGCACGGAAAGAAGGCCTTGTGACCAGTGGTGGCATCTCATGGAACTGCTATATCATGCAAAGAGTCACGAGCAGACAGAAGAAGCTGCGTGAACTTAAAAGCATAGACTGCAGGTGTGCTTCACTTTCTCCACAGTCCAAAGACCTTCCATAGAAAAGGTATTTGGGAGGGGTTTCTCCCTGCACAAATCACGTCAGTGCATGGAAATACAAATCCTCCCTGCACATAAGTGAATCACCTGGGCATGTTCATGCACTGGTATGTTGCAGTGGCTATGAGTGTGAACTGGAAGGCTCAAACCTCATCTCAGTCAAGAACAGGCGAGGCAAGCTGCATTCTCTTATGCTCAGCCCCACATCTGTAGTAAGAGGGAGCGCTGGGGCCCAATATTCCCTCTAAGCTGTGCCAGCCTGTGCTGGCACACAAATTCCCAGTCCCCAGCACACAGATCCCTGGCTGAGCACGGGGCAAAGAAACTCTCCCCTGCCTACCTCCATCACGCAGGGGGAAGAGGCCCAAAGACCGAGGTCTCCTCCCCCCTCCGGCAGGGAGTGAGGGAGGGGGAGCTGCCAGCCATTTAAAGCGAACAGCTGACTGGTGGGTCTGCTGGTCAGTTGTTCAGTTTAAAGGGTGGGAAGCCATTTCAGCACTCCCTTTGGTTTCCTCCCACTTGGAAGCAGGGAGGAACAAAATGGAGGACTCTAATGGCTGCCCACCCTTTAGAACGAACAGCTGACGGGTGCACCCATCATGCCGTTTACTTTAAAGGGCAGGAAGCCATTTCAGGGCTCCCTTTCGCTCCCCCCAGCCTGGAAGGAGGGGTGAAACAGAAGACTCTAAGGGCTATCCGCCCTTCAAAGTGAACAACTGAGGGGCGGACCCACCGTGTTGTTTGCTTTAAAGGGCAGGAAATTATTTCAGTGCTTCCCTTTGCTTCCCCCCACTTGGAAGTGGGGGGGGAGAGAAACGGAGGACTCTAAAGGCTGCTCGCCCTTCAGAGTGAATAGCTGACAGGCATATCGGCCACACTTTTCAGCTGAAAGGGCGGGAAGCCATTTCAGTGCTCCCTTTCGCTTCCACCCACATGCAAGGGGGGGAACAAAATGGAGGACTCTAATGGCTGCCCACCCTTTAAAGTAAACAACTGACAGGGAGCTCTCTTTCTTTCTTTTTTCTTCCTTCCTACCTCTCTCCCCATCTATTTTCTGTGTTTCTTTCACTCCTCTCTCCCCATCTTTTTGCTTTCTTTCCACCTCTCCCTCCCTTCCTTCTTCCCTTCTCCCCATCTTTCTTCCTTTCCTTCTTCCTTTCCTTCTTCCTTCTTTCCTTCTTCCTTCCTTCCTCCTTCTTCCTTCCTTCCTTCCTTCCTTCCTCCCTCCCTCCCTCCCTTCTTTCTTTCTTTCTTTCTTTCTTTCTTTCTTTCTTTCTTTCTTTCTTTCTTTCTTTCTTTCTTTCTTTCTTTCTTTCTTTCTTTCTTTCTTTCTTTTTCTTTCTTTCTTTCCTCCTCTCTTTCCTCCTTTCCTCCTTTCTTTCTTTCTTTCTTTCTTTCTTTCTTTCTTTCTTTCTTTCTTTCTTTCTTTCTTTCTTTCTGATGAGACTGGGCTGGCCTAAGCCATCCGGGTTGGATCCCTGCCCAAATCTTCACTTTCAAGAGACTAAGGTCTTAGGGGCCGCATTCCCTCCCACTGTGGTTTATCTTTTCTTCCCGCCTTAAATGAAACTCAATATTCCAGCCCCCTAGAGCATGCTCAGTCTTCATCACACCAGTTTTCAGTATATGTATGGGGGGCAGAGGTCTCAGTAGTTGAGTTTACACACTAATGTTGTTCTGTATGCCGACTGAGCCCTTTTCTCCAGAGCAAATAGAGCCCCTGCCACATCTGTGCCTCGCTTTTGCTTCTTCCATGATGGGCCTGAGTCCCTATGAGACAGAACAGCGGCATCAGTGGCCTCCCTGACTTGACTCAGGCTCTCGGGTCCCCTGGAGGTCGCCAACCCAAGCTGGCTGCTGGCACAGGGCAAGCGTTTCTCTGTTGCTTCCAGGAATCAATCTGTCTGATCACCAGACTGCTAACAGCTAAAGTGCAGGATCCTTCTTGTAACATATCCATTGCTGCTTATTTAGATCCCTTTCCGCTAACTCAGACCACTGGTCCCCCCCAAGCGCAGTCTTGCCTGCTCCATCAGGGCACCTGAGAGAGGAAGGCTTGTCCTGACGCTTGCTGCCCAAGAGCCAAACATTACACAAATTTACCACTTATTGACTGTAGACTTCCAAATCTTGAGGAAGTGCATAATGCCTAAGCGTCGGCACCATTTGCTGTAGTCCTAAGGCCCAAATGACACTTTATGGTTTATAACATGGAGGGTCAGGATTCCCCAAGCCTGGCGTTGATGCTGACATCAGGAGTGGGTGCCCAGGGCCCTAATTCAGACTGGGACCACAGCATGGGGGAGCTCTTTGCTGACTCGGCAGAGCCCGGGGGCATTCCTTGCCCCACTGGAGGCTGTGACGGTACTGATGGGCCACTCCCAAAGCTCCCTGATGGGGCAAATAACACACCCTTCCGGCCATCTGGGGCCAGACTAAAGCCCCTTCTCCACTCTGCTCCCCATCTGAGTTGGCACCCAGGCCCTTGAGAAACAAGCTCTCCCACTCCTGACCTCTGACAATTGCCGTCAACATCAGGTCGGGGGCACCCTAACCCTACACACTATGGATCACAATGTGCAATTCAGGCCTTAGTTGCAGCCCTTCCAGGGGCTGGATTTTCTCTTATCCCACCTAATCCTTGGACAGGGAGGTCATCTGTTTCCCATGCCCTAGACAGGCAGGCTCAGGTTTCCACAGGTGCCATGTACTGTGAAGCCTTGGCATCACATGCTCCCCCCCCTCCCACTTTCACCTTCTGCCTCCGTTTCTCCTTCCTCTTGTCCTCCGTTGCCTGCAGCATCTTCTCTTTCCACAAGTTGAAGAAATACGAAGGATCCGTGTAGAACTTCAAGCCATCTTTCTTGTCATCTCTGAAATGAACAAAGACAGTCAATTGTAACCTTAGAGTGGCCCCTGATCGTTATAAGGAATCCAGTGGGGGTGGGCGGGATCTTTGGCGTGAAGGACACGTTTGGTCTCTGCCTCCTTCATAGGGCTGCGGAAACTGGCGCTTCTGCTGCCTGTCCTGGAACAAAGGAAAGCCGGCACCCACACAGAGCCCTGCAAGGCGGGCAGAGGTCCAGGTGTGGCCCCTTCTGTACCCTGCTGCTCTTCACAGCCCTCAGCTCCTGGGCCCTTTTCCAGGATCCCTGGCTGGCTAGCCAGACCTGGAGTTCAGCCAGTTGGTGTTTCTGACAAAGGGAGAGGAGCAGAAGAAAACTCTCACGGGCTGAATGGCAGCAGTTCACCCGTCTCTAGGTGCAAGAGTGACTATGTTGATAACATGGACACCTAGCATTCAGCAAACGCTATCTTTTTGTAACCCTTAGCCCTGCAAGGCGGGTTTAGCAGAATTAAGCCCATCTTTCAGGGGGGAGGCTGAGCAAGAGCAGAGCAGCGGGCGAGCTTTGCAAACCAAGGACTTCCTGATCTGTCGCTCAGCCGCTCCCCCTACGCCGGCTGTGGGCACGGCGCACACCTATCCTGACTGAGGTCCAAAGCACCACAAGCAGAGCTGCATGGCTACAGCAAGGATCCCCAACCTTTCTGGGCCTGTGGGCACCTTTGCGAATTTGCGAGGAGGTGGTGAGGGCCGCACCAAAATGGCTGCCACGGGAGGTGTGGCCAAAGGCCAAGTGACTGCCTCAGGAGACAAAACCGAATGAAACCACTTGGGAAGAAGGAAAATCTTGAAGGAAGCGGGAGCCCTCAGGAGGCGCACGGGGCTGAGCCGGGGCTGCTTCTCAGGCTCTCGTTTACAGGGCTTCCCAGGCCTCACCGGAGACCCTGGGGCACAGGACCCTGGTGGGGTACGGCCTGTGCATTCTCACAGCTCCAGTGAGGTCACACACAGAGATAGGGGATGACAGCTGCAGCCACCAATCTCTGACGTGTGTCAAACAAGCAGCCGCCTTACAGGCACCTCCCCTCGAGCACCGTCCCTTTCCGCTGAGGCAGGCTGTACGTTCTGTTGTGGTCTTCTGGCCCTCCTTTCCCACTCTGTCCTGGCCACCCACCGCCCCTTCATCCGGCCTGACACCTGACTGGCAGGACGACGCTGGCCACGCTCTCTCCCGGACCCCTCTGCTTGCAAACCCTTCCCCACATTGGCTTCATCGAGCTGCACCCTCAGTGGTAACCGACGCTCCCTCCAAGCTGTGGAGTCCTGTGAGCAGAAATTCTGCTTTGTGAGCGACTGGCATTAAAGTTGTGACTGAGTGATTTGGCTACTGCATAAATTAGTTTGCTCTGGAGCCCTCCTCCCTGAGCTGAGACAAAAATCTGTGAGCTGGAGGCTAAAAAACTGAGAGCTAGCCGACACTAACTCAGCTTAGGGGGAACACTGCTGGTAACCAGCCAGGGGGTGGATTGGGCTCCTGAAAGAGCCCAGGACCAAGCCCAGCTGGGAGGGCCTCCCAAGGGCTGCTGGACTCAGACCCAACACGATGGCCACCATAAGCTCACTTGCTTCCTCCTCCCATGCTGAAGAACTCAGCTTGAACCTGACCGGTGGGAAGAGGCGACAGGTACCAGGAAGGTACCCAGGAGGCTGAAGCATCGGCCCACCCTCGTAGCAAAGCTCCCGTTTCCCCCTTGCCTCCCCCCATCCTCCGCCCCTGTTGTCTTTCCCACTGTAGAGTTTAGACTTTCAGACCTGTATTCCCCCCCCCCCGGGAAACACTGTGAAGTGCACACTGACGGCACTACACATAGACAATACGCAGTGGAGGCCGTTCAACAGCAGTCCCTGCAGGGGAAGTAAGAGACACACTTCCTTCAGAGTCTGAGAAGAAAGACATCAGAACAGGAAACCTTTGGATCCTAAGAGGGCGCATCCGTCTCCAGACTTGACTCAAGCTCAGCATCCGTCTCTGTCTCATCCGTGGCTTCCCACGATGGGCGCAAGGTCAGTAGTGGAAGTCCTTTTTGCCCAACGGCCTACCTGTATGGCGTGAGGATGTTGAGTGGCGGGGGCTTGTCGCAGCGCTGGTACATCTCCATCACAGGGTTGGGGATGGAGTTGCGAGAGACCACCTGCTGGTTCTGAATGGTCGAGCTCTTGAAAGCTTTCCGCATGTTGATGTCTTGCAGGGAAACTGCAAAGGAAAACAGGAGTGTGAAAAGGGACGAAGGGGGGAAAGAAACAGGGAGTGCTGACGTTCCTGTTGCACAGAGGAAGATTCCTACAGCAGATCTTTTCCCTATAAATTATTCCCATGTTCATTCCACCAGTTCAGACCAGGAGGGGCCATGGCTCAGTGGCAGAGCATCTGCTTGGCAAGCAGAAGGCCTCAGGTTCAGTCCCTGGCATCTCCGACTAAAAGGATCAGTTGATATGAAAGACCCGAGCCTGAGCCCTGGAGAGCTGCTGCCAGTCTGAGTAGACAAGGCTGACCTAGATGGACAAAGGGTCTGAATCAAAGGATCAAATTGTGTCTGTAAACCGCTCTGAGCCTCATGGATAGGGCGGTATATAAATCGCAAATGTAATGTAAAAGGAGGGCAGCTGCACTTAGCAAGGGGCCATGGCTTAGTGGTAGAGCATCTGCTTGGCATGCAGAATGTCCCAGGTTCAATCCCTGCCCTCTCCAGATAAAAAAGGGACCAAAAAGTTGGTGATGTGAAAGACTTCTGCATAAGACTCCAGAGAACTGCTGCCAGTCTGAGTAGACAAAGTACTGACTTTGATGGACTGTGGGTCTGATTCGGTATAAGGCTGCTTGATGAGCATGCGTACACTGAAAATGCTGCAATTTATTTAGCCCACTCTTTAACACAAGACCAGAAGGACTAAAACGGTCCTTTGGAATCCACATTGGTAGCAACCCAGAATTCCCACTCATCCGAACTCAACTACCCGATCTGTTTCCCATCTCTCACACCAGGCAATCACCTCCCCACACTTCTTGCCTGGCTCATCATAATACTGACCAACGGCAGTCCACAACCTGTCACAGAACCATTCTGTCCTTTCTCTCGACTGCGCAACAAAACCCTGACATTACAACCACCTCCGTCACAACATTAAGCGCTCTCAGACCCAGCTTTCTGCCATGTTCACTACTATCCCTCCTACAAAACACAGTATTTTACAGTCAAATCCTGAACAGTTACACCCTCCTAGGCCCACTGATTTCAGTGAGAGCCCCCCCCCCCCCGCTGCCAAATCACCAACATACAAAGTTGCCTATCACCGGAGGGGATCAGTCGTCCATTTGGAGACTGGCAGAAACTCTCCCAGATCTCAGGCAGCCCCCTTAAGTACCACTTTCACCATCCCTTTGAGACCATCATGTTATACGAAGCCACAAAAAATAAAGGGGATTAGACAGATTCATGGAGGAGAGGCCTGTCAGGAGCTATTACCCAGGAAGGCCAAGAGGAACTTCCACATCCAGAGGCAGTCAACCTCTCAATACCAGTGTTGAGAGGCATCACCATGGGAGCCCTTGGCCTCTTGCCTTGTTTGTTGGCCACTGAGCGAGACAGGATGATGGGCTAGATGGACCACTGGCCTGGTGTAGTAGGGCAACTCTTCTGTTCTTTAACTCCTCAAAACAGCAAAAAGTCTATTTAAATAACCTGTCACTTTCCATACTCTTCACATTAAAAGTTAAGCAGAATTGTGCTCCCAATTTTTTTTTTGCATGCATATGGATAATGAAGATAACTTGTTCAGATTACCTGAATTTCCCCTAAACTGGATATTTAAACAAAAAAAAAGCAAAAGGGAGAGGGAAATGGGGAGGTCCAGGAAGGAACTGAACAGAAGGGATGTTGGGGAAAGGCTTACTGCAACTAGACTTCATCAGCTGTGTGCAAATAACCCCTCTCAGACGGTACGAGGCTAACTCTGGTTTTGGAGAGGGGCAACACTCAGCATCGCTGCACATGCACACAGCTGGAACATCCCACGGTTGGAACCAGTTTCAGAAATGTTTAATGTGTACGTAGATCCCATCTAGAAGTATGAACCTTACCTCCCAATTCCACTGTATTTGAAAAAGTCTGCAAGCACACAAAAGCTCATACCTTGAATAAACCTTTGTTGGTCTTAAAGGTGCCTGACTGGACTCCAAATTTGTTCTTAATGTGTATGTGTTTAAAGCACATGAAAGGTTGAAGGCACATGAAGGCTTTTTACCTGCACGAGTAACAGCCACTCCCCCCCAATCCAGCAAACTCCTTTTCAGCAATGCCTCCCACTCTTCCCTGATGTTTAAAGCAACCTTCAGGCCCCAAATTCCTCTTGCTCTGGACTCGTCTGTTTCACTGCTAATTTGTCAGGGCCCAGAGGAAGCAGCTGCCTGCAGTCTCCCCCCCCCCCCCCCTCCCCTTTTCTCCCCCCGGCCAACCAAACCCAGAGGCATCAGGGAGACCAACTTGCCCTTGGCACTTCTTAAAATTAAACAACATCATCCGACACTAATTATGGGTTACTCTTTCACACTGAACAAAGTTTGAGTCCAGAGGCACCTTTATGACCAACAAAGTTTAATTCTGGGTATAAGCCTTTGTGTGCATGCATTTGGAGAAGTGTGCATGCACACAAAAACTTATTCTCAGAATTAAACTTCATTGGTCTTAAAGGTGCCACTGGACTCAAACTTTGTTCCATTGCTTCAGGCCAACATGGCCACCCACCTGAAATCTTTCACATCGATGTATGATGGCATGCATAGTGCAATTTCAAGGCCCTCCCACTGCACCCTCTCTGCCTATGGTGAGCTGACCTGCTAAGTTCTCTCCTTTTTGGCTTGAATGGCTGTGGGGCACTGGCCTGGTTGATATGTGGCCAGCCCCTCCACATAGCCCACTGGTTTCTTCTGCACAGAGGGACTATGATCCTTCCTGTGCCCAGGGGCAGATTAAGGCCCACTGGTGCCCGAAGCACTGACCAATCTTGGTGCCCCCCTCCTTTCCACACTGACCCCCAGTCCATTTTAGTTGTCGACCTGTCTGACCAGATATACAATGCAGGTTGCAGCAATACAAAAATTTATTCATAGGATAACACAACATACTGTACAAACTAAGCTTTTCACCCTTTCCCCAACTTTGTGGTGCCCCCTTTGGCCCTGGTGCCCTAAGCACCTGCTTAGTGTGCTTCATGGTTCATCTGCCCCTGCCTGTGCCATTTGGAACCCAGCAGATGAGGCTCCCACCCTTCAGCCAGGAAAGCAAAGCATGAAGTGGCCCTCTGTGTGAGGCAGTACCAAACAAGAAGAAGAGGAGGAGGAGGTGATTGGATTTATACCCCGCCCTTCACTACCCAAGGGAGTCTCAGAGCGGCTTACAAACTCCTTTCCCTTCCCCTCCCCACAACAGACGCCCTGTGAGGTAGGTGGGGCTGAGAGAGCTCTGACAGAAACTGTTCTTTTTCAAGGACAGCTCTTATCAGAACTACAGCTTGCCCAAGGTCTGAGTGGGAAACAAGAAGTGGGAGACTGACCAGTTATGAGGGTGCACAGAGAGTTTATATAGTTATAAAGGTGAATATATACAGAGATATTTACAGGCTATTGAACAGCATGTCGTGCTTTAGTCTATGAGAACTGAGTCCCCATCCAGTTTACTAAACTGATAGCTATTAAGCTAAACCCCAGCCAATCTCTATCTAACAGGGTGATGTAATCACTAGCTCTAACAAGCCCTAAAGAGCAAAACCTGCTAGAAAACACCTGGCTGTAATTAGATGATTACTAGCATGACAGCTAGGTCTGACAAACAGATCAAACTGATCTATAGTAACTGCTTGCTACCTCTATCACTCTGACATATATCTCAATAAGGTCATTCAGCCAGGTGCAAGTGAAGGAGTGGGGAATCAAACCCGGTTCTCCCAGATTAGAGTCTGCGCACTTCACCACGACAACAAACTGGCTACACCAAAGCGCAAGAGTCCAGAAGGACCTTAAAGACTAACAAGATTTGTGGCAGGGGAGAGGAGCTTTCATGTGTCACTGAGGCACTGGGTCCATTTATTTCCCGCTCTGTCCAAGTGCATGCTGGAAGTGGCCAATTCTATCCCTCATACATTTGTTGCTGTGAAATGGGAAACCTCTACCTTCAGCAGGCATATGGAAAGGGCGCTTAATCTACCATCCATTGTGTCTTTTAATCAGAAAAGTTTAGCATTCCCTGTGTCAGGACCGCCTGCTTCTCCCTCACGGTTGACCTTGCCTGGAATAGGTGCTAAATTAAATGCATTCCCACAATTCCTGAGCCGGATCCCTGTTACTGGTCTACGGAAGGGAAAGAAGAGAGGAAACTCCCTGAAGCACTGCCCACGTTCTCTTCTGAAGAGGTTGTGGATGGATAAGAAATTTCAGGAGGGACTTGGCTCAGAGTGTGTCAGAACGTGTCCTTTGCACGCTGAGGGTCCCAGGTTCAATCCCTGGCACCTCCCGTTAATGGGATCAGGAAAGTGATGCGGAAGCAAGGGCTGGCAGGCTCTCAAGCTCCCTTCTTAACCTTGATCTATCTTACTCTCGTTGCCTTCCATGGATGGATCAAGATGGGTGGCTGTGTTAGTCTGTCTGTAGCAGTAGAAAAGAGCAAGAGTCCAGGAGCACCTTCAAGACTGACAAAATTTGTGGCAGGGGAGGAGCTTTCGTGAGTCGCTGCTCACGTCTTCAGGTATTTAAAGAAGCGAGTGGTGACTCATGAAAGCTCGCACCCTGGCACACACCCTGGCACAAATTTTGTCAGTCTTGAAGGTGCTCCTGGACTCTTGCTTCTTGTTGCCTGTCTTTCGGGGCCTCTGCTAAGTTCATTTTTATTTCCTTCTTTGGTGCCCTGTCTTCCTCCCCTGTGGGGACCCAGAGCAGCTGACATGGCTCTCCTCTCCTCCATTTTATGCTCACAACAACCCCATGAGGTAGGTTAGGCTGAGAGAGGGGGACTGGCCCAAGGTCACCTTCCATGGTAGAGTGGGAATTCGAATATGGGTCTCACCTAGTCTTACACTCTAACCACTGCCCCACACTGGCGCCTCCCGACAAGCACAGAAGAGGAAGAGTTGGTTTTTATACCCCGCTTTTCACTATCCGAAGGAGTCTCAGAGGGGCTTACAATCACCTTCCCTTCCGTTCCCCACAACAGGCACCCTGTGAGGCAGGTGGGGCTGAGAGAGTCCTGAGAGGACTATGACTCCCCGAAGGTCACCCAGCAGTCTTGATGGGGAGGAGGAGTGGGGAATCAAACCCCTGAGAGATTCCCCCCACCCCCCGCTTTCTATTTCTATTTATTCCAGCTTTCCTTCTCTCCTTTCTCTGCTGTCTCTTCCACTGTCCACATTTAGATTATCAGCCTCTTGGGACAGAGGCCTTACTTTTCTCTTACTGACTTTTACAGCACAAAACACCACGTCCATTTATGGAGTAGAAACTGTCAACTTCTTACAAGATGGCTGTCTTCTTTGAACCAAAAGGGAAAGCGGACACAAAAAGCACACCATCTGGATAGACTGATTTAAACGCAGCTTATTCCTTTGGCTGGGATACGGCCAGAAGAAGGTGTAGGATCCTTACAGTGCACTCCTGTCCAGAGTTGCTCCAGTCTTGAAGTTAAGGGGCAACTGGAGTCACTCTGCATAAGACTGTACTGCCAGAAAGACTTCCCTTTCTGCTGAATGTTTTTTAACTTGTCAAACCAGACTTATGATCAGGGGTCATTTCGTAGAAAAAGAGCTAGGGGAACTCATTAGCATAACTCATTAGCATATGCCACACCCCCTGACATCACCGGAAGTGTGTCATAAGGCCACACACCCCGCCCCCAACGGGCCCGGCGGTGGACCTGCAAGGCCAGCGGGAGTGCCCCGCGAAGGCCCTCCCTGGCCCCAGGCAGGCAGGGGTGGGGAGAGGCAGGGAGGAAGCAACTTACCCTCCCTCTTCTCCTGCCTCCTCCCAGCTGAATGAGGGCCGGAAGCGGGCCGGCCGGAAGCAGGGGGCGGGGCTTCATCATGTGCCCCGCCCCCCGTACCTCACCCGGGGGGACTGCGTTCCCCCGCGATCCGCCCCGAAATGACCTCTGCTTATGATTATTTCTTTGCCAGTAAACTAAGTCCAGTAGGCAGGGATGCCAGCGTCCAGGCAGGATCTGGGGACCCTCCAGAATTACAGCTCATCTCCAGACTACACAGATCAGCACCCCTTGAGAAAATATACAAAAACCTTTTACACGTGCATTTTGGATGTGTGTCAGTGTAACATAGAGAATAGTGACCACTGAGGAAGGGGCCGAAACGCGTTTGGTCCTAAGTTAAAAAATGTTTACCCGTCAAGTGTATTTGTATTACAAAAGCTTTTAAAGTCTGAATTTTAACCACAGTATGTTTTAACATGTGTACACCTTAATAAACATTTGTATTTTTATATAATATAGTGTTAGCTTGACCCTCTTAGTTCACAGATCTATTTTGGGTTGAGTTTCCCCCCCCCCCTTTTTCCCCAGCTTTTGTCAGACTCCCCCAGAATTACAGCTCATCTCCAGACGACACAGATCAGTACCCCTGGAGAAAATGGATGCTTTCGTGGGTGGACTCCACGGCACTGTACCCTCCTGAGGCCCACCCCCAAATCTCCAGGAGTTCCCCAAACTAGTACTGGCAACCCTATCCCCCATCCCCCACGGGCAGTGGGGGGGACACACACCTGGCAACCCTCCCAGCGGGCTTTGTCCTAAAGTAAGCAGGCACAGAACTGTACTCCACAGTGTTTCATTGAGACAAAACTTACTGCTATTGTGCGTAGGACAGAAATTAAGTCCAAGACAGAAAAGCCCAACTGGGTGGGTGCGATCTCCTGGTGGGGGTGGACAGAGGAGGCACTGGTGGAAGCCACACCATTTTTCCCTGGAGAGGATCAAGCAGGACAGCAGCACACAAGAAAGAGACTCTGCTTAAGTTTCTTTGCATGTTCTCTGCCAAGAAGCTGATTACTGTGCCTGAGTGTCCTTAGTGTTGCCAGGGGTAAGGATGAGGAGGAAAAAATCAGAGCCGATTTGCTCCAGCTGCACCCACCCCTTGCTGCCTTGCCCTCCGCTCTGCCGGCCTCACTGAGCTCTGCCTGAGACCCTGGAGAAGCCACTGCCACTCAGAGGAGACGAGCCTGACCTGAACAAACCAAGACCTCGACTCAGTGTCAGGAAGCTCTGCGGATGCTCCTGTGATAGGCTGCACACACTGGCACCTATCCAGCCCCCTCCTCCAAATGGCACTTCAGGAGAGAGAGGGAGGGCCCCTGGCTCAGTGGCGAAGCATCGACTTTGCCTGCAGAAGATCTCCAGTAATAAAAGTCAGGCGGCAGGTGATGCGAAAGACCTCCACCTGAGGCGCTGGAGAGCTGCTGCCAGTCTGAGTGGGCGATACTGATCATGACGGACTGAGGGTCTGGTTCAGCATACAGCAGCTTCATGGGTATGTGTGTGAGGATTTCTGCAGGTTTCATCATCCCACTTTCCACCCCTGCGCTGTTCCTGGGGCAATTCATAGGAAGCATATAGGTCATTTGCCCTGATGCGCCGCTAGTTAGTTACCTTCTTCCACAGTGGAGTCTAACTGAGTGACCTTGATCACCAGCAGATCTACCCGCTCCTGCAGGGAGTTCATCCGCAGGTAGAAACTATTGGCTTCATTGAACAACTCTCCAAAAATGTCTTCAGCGTGTCTGCCTGAAAGAACACAACATAAAAGACATGACTATATCTGATTAATAAAGGACATGACTATATCTGGTTAATAAAGGACATGACTATATCTGGTTAATAAAGACATAAGGCTAGATGGAAACCCGAAAAAGGGTTGTGACACCAAAACTTTGGAACTCCCTCCTCAGGGGAGATTCGTTCGTCTCCCTCTATCCGGGTCTTCCACCTGTGGGTGAAGATTTTTCTGTTTTGTTTGGCATACCCCCAATAATAGTTATTGATTCTCCTCCCTGGTTCTGGTGTTGTTTATTTGTGTTTTAACTGAATTATTTTATGATTCTAAATGTTCTTTTTAAGCGTTTGTGACGGACTGCAAAGAAAAGCAGGCTTCTAAAAATGCTGCTTGTGTCAGGGAGTCAGGGAGTTCATGAGTTAATCTTCCCTGGAGAGAAGAGCTGAGGTGATTGGCTGCTCTATTCGCTCTCTGATTGGCCAGGATCAGCTAAGAGAGGAAATAAAACAGCTGATCTGGAGGGGAAAGAGGTATTTCGTCATTTGGTCTCAGTCTGAAAACTGACATCTGGATCAGTAGCCAGAGGGTTTGGCTTCTGAGGGAAAAGATATTTGGGAGTCAGTGATTTCTGACAGGGAACTGTCAGAAAAGTACTTTTATAGATGTCTTAAATATATATAAATATGTTAAATATATTAGACCTACTCTGAGGGAGAATTCAGATTCCCAGTCTAGAAAGCTACAACACTGCTTGATACAGACATATAGTACTGGTAGAGGAATTTGTCAGGAGGTCTGAGGAATTAGAGAGAACTCCCAAACAAGCCAAACAGGAAAAGGAGTTATTGCTTCCTAGGGACAAGGAGAGTAACTTCCTACCAGTGTAAGGGCAGGGCCGGCCCAAGGTTTTTTTGTGCTCTAGGCGGGGCTACCTTCTGGCGTGCCCCAAATTATGGGGTTGGCAACCTCCAGGTGGCCTGGGGTTGTCCCTGATCTGCTGCAGACGGCGGCAGGCTCTTAGCCTGGGGGTGCAGTGCCTCTGCTGCCGGGGGCCTGGCCCAAGTGCCCATCCAGGCGGCTCATGGGGAGCTGCTGGGACTGTCCTTACCTGGGTCCGGAGACGCTGGGGGTGGGGCGGGCATGCTCCCCAAGCAGCACTGGGCTTCCCCGCGGTGCCAGGCTTCCCCTCCACTCCACCTTCCGGCGGAACTCCGCACAACTGGATCCTCCTCCTCCCCTGACAGCTGGTCGGCAGGCCCGGGCAGCCATGCGTGCCGCTCCCTTCCCTGTGGCATTCGGGGTCGAGGTGGGCCAGGAGGCAAAGAGCAAGTCGGGCGGAGGGGTGGCGCATCGGCGGGGGAGGGTGGCCAGGTGGCTTGGGGAACTCCGCACGACTGGATCCTCCTCCTCCCCAGACGGCCAGCCCAGGCAGCCATGCGCGCTGCTCTGTTCCCTTCCTCGTGGCACCCGGCATCGAGGCAGGCCAGGAGGCGGAGAGCGAGGCGGGTGGAGGTGTGGTGCGTTGGCGGGGGAGGGCGGCTGGGCAGCTCGCTAGGGGTTGTCGTCTCGCCAGGGGTCTGCCACACTGGCTCTCCAGGGGAGGCTCTTCCCCCCTACGCTCAAGGAGACCAGCTCTGGGGGGGGGGGCTCCCAAGGAGGCTGGCAGGGAGTCAGGCCAGGGCAGCCTTGTCTGCGCAGACTGGCAGCGGCTCCCCAAGTCCTTACCGGCACCTGCTGGCTGGCAAGGCCGGCCAGGGCCAGAACACACCCCATCCAGGGCCCAGCGCTCTAGGCGAATGCCTAGTTCGCCTAGCGGGTGAGCCGGCCCTGTGTAAGGGGTTGGGAAGAGAACCCTGGTCTGTGATAAAGGGGAGAAACTTAGACACCTCAGGAGTTAATGAAAAGAACTCTGAAGGAAATCATTTGTCTTTTGAGCATGTGCATACGCGCTTATGAGAAACAGCGCTTCAAACTCCTGGCAGAATGGCGGCACCTGGTGGCCATTGGGATTGCTGGAGGAGGCTACTGGGATATGTCGTTCAGCTTGGGGGAAGTGTTTTGGAAACTGCTTTTTGATAAATTCAACATTTCAAATGTTTCAAAGCCGGGAGGGGGGAATAGATTTTTGAGAAGTTCCTGTGAGAGAGAGGGAGAGACATGCGAATATGCATTTATGTGTACCTTGCTAACTGCCTCACACTAGGGTTGTCAAGTCCATCTTCCACCGCCAGCGGGGGGCTTTGGGGGAGTTCCGGCATTCCGGGAGGGGGCGGGGCATCCCCAACGTGATGACGTCACGTTGGGGACGTCCGCAGCCCCCCACCCCCACCTGCGCACTGGGTCTCCAGAAACACCAGTTCCCTGCACTTAAAGGAGCCGGCGTTTCCCTTTTAAGTGCAGGAACCGGCGTTTCCCCTTTAAGAGTGCGTGAAGCTGGCATTTCCCTGCAAGCCTGATCTCAAGTGGAGATTGGGCTTGGGAGGAAACACGGGTTCCACTCACACTTAAAGGCAAGAGAGAAGGGAGAGCGGTGGCTGTAGGTGTTGGGGGCGGGGCTTCCCCTGCCGGCCGTCTAGCCGGCGGCGGGTAGAACCCCCCCCAAAAAATGTGGGACCTCTGGCAAACTGGGGGGTTTGGCAACCCTACCTCACACACACAGAGCCGCCTTAGTTCAGGGAAGGGATGGTGTCAGCAAGCTGCCATGGTGTTCTGTGTTGCTGGTTCGTCTGTACAGTTGCTGCCCCCCCTCCCTTGCCTGTGTGCTATTATTTTACTCTGCTGTAATGCCTAAGCCAAACAACTGGAGGATGTATTGGGGGAGTTCGCTTCATTGCCAGCTTGTTGCTTTTAGAGCCTGAGAACTGCACCTGTGTTATGTCTGGAGATAGCCGGGTTCTCAGGGAATGAACGCGCGACCGTTTCCTTTCACCCGCCAGCGGGAAAGTGACCCATTGGTTCTGTATCTGTTTCAAATCCCTTTATTATGCTTGCCCTAACAGTTTGTAGTCAGTTCTAACAAAGAACGTGTTTGAGTATCTTCCAATGCTTTGAAATAAAATCTTGCTTTTAAAACGTGGATTTATTCTCGATGCTTGGGAGCCCAACAGATGGGCGAGGTGGCGGCTTCAGAGAGAGGAGGGGGCTGTCTCTGGTCCAGCCGAGGGAGAGAGCGGGCGGGGGAGTGGGCGGGAGAGGGGCAAAACAGGAAGTGAGCGGTCTGACTTCACCCTACAAGAGAGTGATCAGACATCTGCAGAAGTGCTGTGAAACTGGTAGGATCCATAAAGACTGGACTTTCTGCGGTGTCATGATGCCCGATGTTGCTGTCTGATTGAGCACTTCAAATCCATTCGGGAGGAGCAACGACAACGGATCAAAGTGCTCATCTGATCGCACCCATGGAGTCCAGCACTGCGAAGCTGACAGGAGCCAGCAGGGGAAAGGAAAGTTGCTTGGGAGATTTAAATCAAGCCCACTCCTCGGGGGCTGACTTGATGACACTGGCGGTTGCTCAGCTGACCTTTGATGGAGCCACATCGCTGCTCTCCGCCGGCATCATCTGCAGTTCTTAGTGAGCCTCTGCAGCTCTTTCCACTCCCTGTAGTAGCCACTTCAGACCACCCACATTCCATGTATGCAAACAGGGATCACGGGCATACAACCTGCTGTCCTGCCAAGCATCACTGCCTGCCTCCACTCACCACAATACCTTCTAGAACAATCTTTGCTGCCTCCTATGCACTTCATTTACTATGCAACAGGGTGTCCTGTGCAGTCTTTTCATTTACTTAAGCAGTTTTATTAACTTGCAACCGTCAGGCTGATGTCTGGGGCACACTATTGGGATCACACGGCACCTATTTTGGGTTCATGGGTTAGCAGTTTGCCTCTGGGCACAACCCTCAGAGGATTAGGGACCTGGAGAACAGTGAACTGAATGGAATCGTAGGTTAATCCAGTGCAAAAAAACTCAAGCATCCTCCATGTTGGGTTGGCCTGACCTTATTTCTGCTCCTTTTTTTAGGGACCAAACTGTGATTTCTAGCAAGCCCTGTCTCTGGGAGAATGCCTCTCTTGTATCGCAAGACTGACAAACCAGCGGCATGTTTTGACCTCGTGAAGCAATGAAAAGTCTAAAAGTAGCCACAAAATGCACTCGTGCGCAATTGGGAGAGAATGGCCGCCTTTTATGCATTTTTTGCCCACTAGCAACTAAGGAACTCACTATGTCAAACCAGCTTAGGGGCTACTGGCAGCCATCACATGGCAACTGGTTACCCCATGTGACCTTCCAACTATGGCTGGGGCAAAAATACTTAAGCCTTTTGCAAGCATTTTTGGAAGTATCAGGGTCTTCACTTGCCCTCACTCTCCATTGCCTTTGCTTGCTCTGAGTGAGGTCATCACATAAACATATCATTACATCATTCCCCATGTGATCCCTGATTGGAAGGGGTTATGTGGGTCACTGCTGGCACTCTCAATGAGCCACATTTGCCCTCATTTGCCACATCATGATGTCTCCAAATCCGGCTCTGCAGTGTCATGAGTTCATCCCATTCCTTACGCAATTGGCTGAGACTGGCCATGTGATCGATCTAGGAAAGAGAAGGAAGCAGCAACTACAGCAGGGGTGGGGAGGAGAGCGATGAGGATGATGGGGGGGGGCTGGAGACCAAGAAGCCCTCTGAGGAAAGGCTGAGGGACTTCGGAATGTTCAGCCTGGAGGAGCTTGAGGGGGGACGTGATGGCTCTCTTGAAGTATTTGGAGGGGGCTGCCACTTAGAGGAGGGCAGGGAGCTGTTCCTGTTGGCAGCAGAGGAGAGGACTCGCAAGAATGGGTTTAAATTAAGGGCGAGAAGGTACCGGCTGGATCTTAGGGAAAACTTTTTGACAGTCCAAGTTGTGCAACAGTGGAATCAGCTGCCTGGGGAGGTGGTGAGCTCCCCCTCCCTGGCAGTCTTCAAGCCGCTTGTCAGGGATGCTCTAGGCTGATCCTGCATTGAGCAGGGGGTTGGACTAGATGGCCTCTATGGCCCCTTCCCACTCTGTGATTTTATGGTTCTATAAGCCATTGAGCTGCGGTGGCTCAAGTGGTTAAGACGCTGAACTGCAGGCTGTGGAAGGTCGGTAGTTCAGCAGTTCGAGACCCGAGTGTGCCGCATGACGGAGTGAGCTCCCATCTCTGGTTCCAGCTCCTGCCAACCTAGCAGTTCGAAAGCAAGAAATTGCAAGTAGACAAATAGGTACCACTTTGGTGGGAAGGTAACAGCATTCCGTGCGCCTTGGTGTTTAGTCATGACGGCCACATGACCACGGAAACATCTTTGGACAGCGCTGGCTCTTCAGCTTTGAAACGGAGATGAGCACCGCAACCCTAGAGTCGGATTCGACTGGCTTTCGAGCAAGGGAACCTTTACCTTTATCTTTAAGCCATTGCTACAGGACAGCAGGGAGTATACGCAAAGTTTGAATGTTTTTCGAGTAAGTGTTATACCCCAACCCAGGGGTCATTTCGTAGAAAAAGAGGTGCAGGAGCTCATTAGCATAACTCATTAGCATATTTGCTTATGCCACACCCCTCACATCACCAGAAGTGTGTCAGAAGGCAACACCCACCGCTAAGGCTCCACTGGACTGTTTTGGATTGCTAGCTGGGGGGGGGGGGGGGGGATTTGACCTTGCGAGGAAGGAGGGAGAGCTTGTACCTGAATAAAACTTGGTCTTAAAGGTGCCACTGGACTGTTTTGGACCGGGGAGCCGGGGGGGGGGGGCTCTGCAACTTACCTGGCTGCTTCTTGCTCTGACTGAGGGCTGCTGGGTGCAGGGGGTGGGGCTTGTTACATGTGCCCACCCCCTGGGCTCTTTACTGCCGGAGCTCCGCTCCTGCAGGAAATGACCCCTGCCCCAGCCAAATAACTATCTTCAGTCAGGAAACACTGAAAACATTTATTAGCTGCCTTTCTTCCATGCCAAGCTCAAAGCAGGGCTCATATGGCAGGGATCCCTGAGAAACAAACACTGACGTACAGGTGATGGGGGAGTCCAATAAAAAATCTGAAGGAGCCACACCAATTTTATGTTGGTGCTGCTAACATTCTTGTTTCATGTTGCCACAGTCTAAGCCGACCCATCTCACCCCCAGCAAATCAACCCTACAAAGTAAGGCCTGGTTCACACGTGCAGGAGAACGAGACGGTCAAGCGCACAGCACCGCTTCCAACTGACCGCGTTAAGATCACAGCCCATCACATTTCAGAATCCTTCCCTAAGTTTAAGAAAAACCTTACTGCAAATAGAAAACCTGAAAAGCAGAGGGAGAGGGCAGACCCTTTTTCTCTGCTGCACTAGTTTTTGGTCCAGATGGAGTTTTTGATGCAGAAGGAACACTCCAAGTTGTGCTCTACCACCTGCAGTCCAAAGTGGAACAGTCCTTTCTGTCGCCCCATCCCCTCCTCTGTCTCCTGAATGTGTGACCAGGCCTTAAACTGACCTAACCACCATTCCCCTTCACTAGGGAATCCTAGGCACTGCTCTTTCGATCTCTCAAAGAGAATTCACAACAACGTCTTCAAACTATGTTGCCCAGAATTTGGGTGGGGAAGCCACGGCAGTTAGACTCTTACAAAAACAGGACAAGTTTATATAAGAATCTGTCTCCAGGCCAAGAGGATCTTGCAAGAGGTCAGGGCCGGGTGCTCTTATTTCACTGCCCCCCCCAAAGCATAAACAAGACAACCTCTCCGGGTCAGACACCAACATCTTGCATGGTCAACTTGGACTGGAGACAGAGTCTTATCAGACAGAGCAGAATGGGGCTTGCATGTCTGCCCCCCCTTTCATCTGTGGCCAAAGAAGCTTTCGTAATGCTTTGGAACATGAAAAACCTCTTTGACCAGAGATGAAAACAGGAAGAAAGTCCTGAGAGAACTCTCTGAGAGAACAGTCGCCATCGCCGATGTGGCGCTCTCTAATGCGTTTCTTGGCACCAGCCGCTTCTCGGCCAAGGAAAGAGGAACCAGAAATATGTGGGGGAAGCTTTGAGCCACTGGCCAGCACAGTTCTGAGCTCCTGGGCAAAGGCGTCACAGACACGCACCCTCCGCTTGACCACAGATGTCGGCTTTGCGCATTTGGGGCTGGCAGCCCTGCCCTGCAGCTGTACAGGAAGCAAATATCCCTGTTCCCTTGGAAACGGAAACCAAGCGGTGTCCCTTCCCCAAAGCAAAGAGCTTTTCTCTCCCAGTTTTTCTCTCCCTTTTTCTACAAGAGGCCCCCCACAAGAACCCCAGAGGCACCACCGTGGCGTCGGTGATTGAGAAGCAGCCACCTCTGTCCGAGGAACTGCCTAGCATTCTGATTGGCCCCCCACCCCACAGCAGCCATTTTGGGACGGCACCCCCTGGCTTCCCTGAGCATTCCAAGAGAGCCTGCAGGGGAGTCCTGCTCCCTGGGCGGAGGGAAGGCTTTCGTGCTGCCCGCGGCTCTCTCCTCGGGCACGGGGGGGGGTGCACACAGAGACGGGACACTTACTGAGACTCCCCAGCTGCTTAATGATGGCGGCCAAGGTGCTGTTGGTCACACACTCCAACTCGCTGGTCACGCCATCGGGGAGAGCTCCACGGCAGAGGTGGCGCGGCTCGATGTTCCTTTTCACCAGCGGCATCCTGGCAGGGAATCAGGGGGCTTCACCTTGGAGAAAGAAGGGAAACATCAACAACCAGGGCCTCCCCCCTCCCTCTTTTGAAAACTTTACTGGCAACAGGGCCGTCAATGGACACGGGCGTTTTACAAAGTGCTGCAAGCAAACAAGGGAGGAGTATTCTTTACCCCAAAACGAACAGCGACGGAGGGGAGAGAGACCAGGCCACAGTGGGATCCACGGTAAAACGTGTGGAAATGTTAACTTTGCTAGAAGAGCCTTGTAACAGATGTGGCCGAGAAAAAAATCGCCTGCAATATGGGGCTGATGAGAATAATAATAAATCAATCACTAGAGATGTGAAGGCCCGGGAAAAAAAATGGAAAAATTCAGGAAAAAAACGGTTTTTTCTGAAAAATTGGAAAAATAGGGAAAAATAGATTATGGAACATTTTATTTTAACATGATGAATCAAATATTTTAAGACAAAGTGTGCAAATATTTTCCAAATCATTTCTAAAAAATATGTAAGGTATCAGATTGATCTAATTTCTGTGCACTGAGGACAAGCAAGTCCTAGGTTACAAACTGAACTCTCCAATGCAAGAACAAGATGCATTTCTGCCTTTAGGAGGTGTTATTGTCACAAGAAAAGAAAAAGGTTTCAGTTTTGTTTTTGCATGTGGGTGGGTATTCTGTCTGTAATAATTGTTTGGATACACTAAATTTTTAATATGCTAGTTGTGATAATTTCATGCCAAGTAAAAATGTCCATAGTCATTTCTGTTTCCCCCCGAAAAAAACCGGGGAAAAACTCGGGTTTTTTCCAAGCTTCAAAATTTCTGGAAATGTTACATCTCTATCAATCACCATACAAGGCTGTGGCAAGGGAGCTGACGGCTCTCAGGCTTTCAGCCTTCAGGAAACCCTCCTCCACCACCTACTGAGGAGCCCCCTGTGCCCAGCAGAGGATTCTGGGAGGTGCTCATGTGGCTCCGCTTGAGTACAGAGACTGGCCCACAGCACCGGTCTGCTCACCCCTACCCTTGAAAAGCCTACAGGGTCCCCACCGGCTGGATGCAACTTGCCAGCACCTGACACCACATACAATGTAGACCGTCGGCTAACTCTTGCTCTCGGACCATTTGTGACTGTTGTTCTACCTTATCCCTCTGCCCGAGAAACGAAGGATGTTGTGCATTCCTACCTCCTCATCTTCAGAATTATACTGTGTTAGGCTAGGCTGGACCAAGGTCACCCACTGAGAGTCATGCCTGAGCAGGAATTTGAACCCAGATCTTCCTGCTCTAATCAGTGCACCACACTCGTGCATTGGTCTGTACCCCTTTCAGATCCACCAGATCAATGTGCGGGCTCGTGCAGAGTGCAAGCACTTCTTGTAGACAGCCTTTTAAACTATTCAAAGCTATTTGTAGCGAATGTAACATTTCTGACAGCTATGGCCATGGAACTTCCCTGTCCTAAATACACAGCACAGAAGGCAGGAGGCACACTTCCCACACACTCCGGCCTGCCCAAGTGCCTCCGCTCTGGGGAAGCACCTTGCTCAAACGGACAGACTCCTTGGCCAGTCCTTCAACCTGTAGCCTCTTGCAGGCCGCTAGTGGAAAAAGCAATCAGCAGCAGAGGCTTTTCAACGCTTGCCGTCTCCTCTCCAAATGACCTGACAGAACTGTCCTTCTTTCATGATACCAACCCGTCAAGGGCTGAACTGCAACCAGCATCCCAGAGGCCTGTGGTGTGGTTGCCCCTGTTCCCCCTCCAATTTTAGAGCACCTTAATACATTTAAGTCAGGGCTGACAGTCCATCTTTTCAGTGCATGTTTACAAGGGGGGGGGGTAATCTGCACTGTAAGGAACAGATGGGAATTATTTTCTTTTTTTGCTGTAAAGTCATAGATGGCTTATGGGAACCCTGTAGGGTTTTCGAGGCAAGGAATGTTCAGAGGTGGTTCGCTATTGCCTGCCTCTGCCTAGTGACCCTGGACTCCCTGGGTGGTCTCCTGCCCAAGTACGAACCACGGCCAACCCTGCCTAGGTTCTGAGATCAGAAGAGACGGGTTAGGGTAATTGTTACTCCACGGTAATTTCCATGGCGTAAAAGAGGCCGTGGGCCCCACTTCAGCTGTAGATGTGGCCATCTCGTTACTTGCAACAGCGAGTGGCCCTTGATGGACACGCACCACCACACTCATATCAGCAGATGCCCGCAGTCACTTCTGTCATTTGGATGACCGTCTTGATGCGGAAGGAAACGGGCCTCCATATCCAAATCTGCTAAATGCAGGAAAGACCTTTGCATAAATGGCAGACGACCTTCAGGACTCAATGCATAAGAACCAGGGTGGTCTGTAGCGCCTAAACTGTCTCGACTGGGAATAGAGACATACGAGTTCAATTGCCACTCAACAATGAAACACCCGGGGGAATCTTGGACTAGCCAGCCAGTCATACCTTTTATTGGCATACTCAAACATAGTACAAAATAGGAACAAGCAAAAATACAGTTCAAGATTAAGAACAATAGGGGTGTGTGTGTGTGTATAATAAAATTCATGGCAAAACATGCCCCTCATAAATTTTAACAGATTTCTCCAGGAATTTGCTAACAGCCCTTGTGATTTCTATTTCATTATATTTTAATAAGTGGTGATAGTCAATCCCATTTACCAGATTACAGAGAGGGAAA